TATGTTCATCTCATCATGCCACAGCAGTGTGCTCCTGTGTCATTGGATTATCCCCATGAATCACAGTCACTTGCATATCCTCGGAATCTGATGGAGTGTCACCTATTCTGGGAGACTCTCTTCGATATATGGCCCTGGGTGCTTCTGGCTCACTACGTGAACATACTCTCCGCATAACCAGCACCACTGACTTTCGATATTTTCTTATGCGTCTAGTGAATAGAAATGGATCTACTGCAAACTTTAACAAAAGAAAGATCAAGGTGACCATATATGCTATCCAAACTCCTATAGACAATTCATGAAATATCGCAATGAAGACAGTTATAGTGAGAGGCCAGGCTGCTATTATGAGCACAACTGTCAAAATGATGGTCCCGTACACAAAGTCCTTCTCTGCCCGCTGACGCTGTCGCTCACATTCTGGCCTTTGACCACTGCTGCTCTCTTCCTGGTTTGTGTCACTGAGCTGTTGAGCCACCGTGCGAAATGCAAAGTAAACCATCATGTAGAGAACGACAATAACAACTGTCAGCAGTGTGTTATGGACGACCAGGTCAACGAAAGTAAACAAGGCTTTGTTTATGCCTGTCATTTCAGGCAACAAGGAAAAGAAGACGGAATACACGAAGATACAAATAAGTCCAATTACTGATGATTTCGGGGTGACCAGTTTTTGGTAAACTCTTGGGTGCTGGATCAGCCAATACTGTACGACCCCCAGAGCTAGCATAATTAGAAACGAGCTGTTCATTGTTATGAACGTGAATACTTCAGCAAAACGGTAGAACTTGTCGAAGTCTGCGCCATCAACATAGACAAATGCGAAGACGTAAATTATTACAAAGGCAGGCTCCACAATCAGGCCAATGAGGAAGTTAGCGCTTGTCAAACCAGCGATCAAAATCGCAGACGGTGTTCGGAGACATTTCAGTGGATCTTTGTAAAAGGTCAAAAGAAATATTCCATTGCCCGCAACAGTGGCAATAGAGAGGGTAATAAAAATTAAGACGATCAACAGTGATATTATCGAGAAATGATAGCCTGAACCGTTATCTTCAGATGAAGTATTTGTCGGAGCAGTTGTCGAGTTCATGACGCAGCCTTGAGAACAGCCTGAATGTATACGTTGTCTGGTTTCAGTTTTAAGCGTCAAAAACCTTAAAACACCTGAGTCAACGAATTTACCATTTACTCCTCGAGGAATCTTAAAGCACTATTTTTTTGGCAGTTTTAAAATCCTTATCCGTCTGATCCGTGATTAAGGACGCACTTTGACTGTCTGTTGCGAACTGGCTGCCGGGAACTCTACGGGTGTGCCGTAAAGGGCGTGCGAAAGGGCGTGAGAGTGAAATCTCGAGGACGCGTGTTCTCCTCGCGCGCCCTGTTAATTTCATACCAAAAAAGTTGCTTTTAGAATAAAAGGATCCAATCATAACAATAGTACTGGTTACTCTTGGTAGGTTTTTGGCCATCTCAGTTTTAAAAGGAATGACACACAAACTGCGGTTACAAACATCAGAAATAACAAACGCATTGCCGAACTTGACGTTTCGTATGTTAACATACATCTTCAGAAGTGACCGTTAACATGAGTAGTAACTAAATTAAAAAAAACAACAACAACAAAGTAAGATGAGTAACTAATTTCACGTGAAGAAAAAAGCAAATAAATGTGACAGGTGAGGAAATTTGCATGAAATTATGCAAACTGGTATAAGAAAAACTTTTTGCTGCTTATATTTTCGTTTAGGGTTCAGGCGCGGATCCAGGATTTTTTTTAGGAGGGGGTGCACTCGTCTCTTGCTCTACTTCAACCTACTTCAACACCAATAAACCACATAGTTTTTTTTTGCAGAATACCAGTTGATTAGAAAACCGCAGGTCACCTGGGGGGGGGGGGTGCACCCCCCCTGCACCCCCCCCCTAGACCCGCTCCGGGGGCGGGTTTTAATTCCCTATTAAGATGGGTACCCTTGATTTTCCAATGGGTATCTGATTTTCCTTTTGCTAAAATGTCAAAATGGTCCCATTTCAAATTGTAATGGTTACACTTGAACGTCTGTACTAAAAGCTGGGTTAAAGTTCTGCTGATGCTATTGTTTCTTTAGCCAAAGCCTTTGTTGAACTGTCTCTCTCTGCATGTCCAAGATTAGAATAAAAGGGCTAAAAATGAACAGTGGTACATAGATGTGGGGGCTGGGGTGGGGGTACAGATACCTCCCCACCCAGCCACAAACCAGAGACCACTACAATGTTATAATCCCCATTTTTATTTAATAATAAAATGCTTCTAGAAAATGCACTACCAAAGCACAGCAATTATAAAAAAAGTTACCAAAATAACTGAACACAAAGAATAAAATTATTATAACAAATACCGGTAAGTATCAATGAAAGACATTTACTTATTGCTCTTTATTTACTGAAATCTATCTAGAAAAAGTGCTGCAGAATAGGACAGATCACTAGACCAACCCACCTTGCCTTATTCAAAGTTGTAGACCTAATAAATTCTGATACAAAACACTACTCACACTCTAAAAATCAGAGAACAGCTACATATGTTGAAACTGGCCTATGCAAAGCTGCCTCCTCCCCTTAAACAAAATGGGGGAGGGGTGATTATTGTAGATAGATAGATAGATAAATAGATTGATCGATAGATAGATAGATACATATTGAACCTGAATATTTAAGTGTCATAGAGTTTAGCCCAAATAGGTCTAACAGGGGACAATAAATAAACTATTCTGCTAAAATGCTAAAAGCGCAATTAAAATATATAGACACAGTGCTAAAATAATTATGATGGAATCCATCAGGAAATTGAGTACTGTATTTATTCAATTAACTACCCTGGGCGCTTTTAAAATTTTTTACCTTGAGAGTGGGCGCTTATTCGAGGTGGGTGCTTATTCGAGGCTGAGTGCTTACTAAATTTTCAACATTTGTAGTGTAGTATGTTTATTTTGCAACAAAACAAACAGATCTAACAAAGCAAGGTTTGTAAAATACTCCAAAGAAAACTCCATCTTCGGGGAAGTCTCTGATTAATACTTATTCAACATTTTTTGTGGTGTTAGGGGAAAAGGAGTGTGGTGGGGGTGGGCGCGTATTCGAGGCTGGGCGCTTATTGACTTCTTCTGCCTTTACGATGGGTGCTTATTCGAAGTGGGAGCTAATTCGAGGTTGGGGGCTTATTCAAATAAATACGGTAATTTCAATAACCTTGTACCAGAATAATTTAAATAAAACCTAAACTACTAAGATGTTACAATATTTACAAGACGAAAATACTTGTTACAATAAACATTTAATGATTGTCTATTCGCAACAAAGTTTGCAGCAGCCCGATAATGTATACAGGCTAGTTGAAACTACAGACTAAAACAACTATTGGTAACTTACACTTGCAATAAAATGTGAAAATTACTGGACTTAGAGTTTATTTGCTACCTTGTACAAAGTTTTTTCCATGCATTCTGTAAAGTATTTTATGGGTAATTACTATTATTCTTATTTAATTTAATATTATTGCTATTTTTTTGTCATGCAGGGCAACCATTTATAATGGCTTTACCCACCAAGTTAACTACTTGAATGAGTTATTTTTCACTTCTAGCAAAAACCTCTTGGATTATATTTTGTCCTAATTCTAAAAAAGCTAACGGAACTTCATGTCATCCAATTCAGTCTTTAATCATATGATTGACAAAAAAAATTGCATGACAGCGTATAAAGGATCTCCCACTATGTGGTTGTCCAATATTATGCTAAACACTTGTATAATAATTACAGACTGAATTGGTCAGTTTATTACCATGAGATAACTACAAGAATAGAGATAACTACAAGAATATTACACTAAAATAGTTATATAAACAATATTATAAGTGAACATATGCTAATACTAAAAAAGAGTTAACAATTATTTCACTTCTGGTGACAGAAAATAGACGTTCACAAATAACAGTTACAAGTACAAATGTTTTCAGGAAGACTACCAAACAATTTAGCAGAGAAGTCTAAAAGTATTCAATCTTCTTGGAGTATGTGCAATGGCATCAGAGGATCTTAGGTTTGTGTAAGGTGGTGGAGACTTTGTGGAAAAAATGTTGAAGACTCCAATATGAATAAGAAAACGAAAAACAAAATGAGACCTTGAGACTCATAGCAAATGCTTTTGAGAGTTTAGATCAGATCAAAATTTTTTGAGCTCCAGGATTTCTTGGGTATCATTCACCTTAAATGAGCCACACCCACAACCATAAGCCCATAATGAAATAACAAAAGATGCCAGGTCCTATATACAATATATGAATTTTTTTACACAAGTCTCTGACCCCACTACCAGGCCCTGTGTATGGGAATGGAAGACAGTCTTTGATTCTGGATTACACACTGTGGATACGGATTCCAGGTACTCAATTCTGGACTGTTGTCTGTGGAACTTGGATTCCAGATTCCAATCTTTAGTGGGATTTCTAGATTCCTTAAAAGCTGTATTCTAGATTCCACAAGCAAACATTTCCGAATTTCGGATTCCACAAGCCAAAACTTCCCTGATTCCAGAATCCAGATTCCCTTACATGGGGCAACAGGATACAATCATGCGCTAGCAGGCTGTTCGTTTGTTGCATCAGTGCTATCATTGATAGCCAACTGCATATCGTTATCAAGGTCACTGGTTTCTGACTGGGCTGGAACAGCTGTTGTTTCTGANGTCTCTGACCCCACTACCAGGCCCTGTGTATGGGAATGGAAGACAGTCTTTGATTCTGGATTACACACTGTGGATACGGATTCCAGGTACTCAATTCTGGACTGTTGTCTGTGGAACTTGGATTCCAGATTCCAATCTTTAGTGGGATTTCTAGATTCCTTAAAAGCTGTATTCTAGATTCCACAAGCAAACATTTCCGAATTTCGGATTCCACAAGCCAAAACTTCCCTGATTCCAGAATCCAGATTCCCTTACATGGGGCAACAGGATACAATCATGCGCTAGCAGGCTGTTCGTTTGTTGCATCAGTGCTATCATTGATAGCCAACTGCATATCGTTATCAAGGTCACTGGTTTCTGACTGGGCTGGAACAGCTGTTGTTTCTGAAAAGTGCCTTTGGTAGGTAGCTCCAGGTACTGTTGGCCTAAAACATGAGCACGATCTCTGCATGACCATTATCAGTGACTTCCTGTACTTCCTTAGGCGCCATGCAAACACAAAGGGGTCCACTGCAAATTTCCACATCATAACGAACTCTGAGACCATCCACGCTATCCATACAGTCAAAGAGAATTCTTTGCCAAACAGTGCAATGAACAAAATTATGCAGTAGGGCCAAACTGTTATTATCAGGATCACTGCCAACATAATTGTCCCATAGATAAATTCTTTTTCTGCTTGGCGACGGTGTAGATCAGTAACAGGCCCTTGTTCCTCTGCGTTTTCATTAAGATCTGCATCACGATGCCGTTGAGCCAGCCTACGAAATGCAAAGTAGATCATAATGTAGAGAATTACAACCATAACTGTCAATAAAGTGTTGTGAACTGCCAGTTCAACAGCATAAAACACGAATATATCAATGCCGGTCATTTCAGGTAACACGGCAAAGAAGATGGAATAGACGAAAATAAAAATCACGCCAATTATCGCTGACTTTGGGCTGACAATTTTTCCGTAAACTCTTGGGTTCTTGATTAGTAAATACTGCACGATCCCCAGAGCTAACATAATCAGAAAAGAACTGGTGATCGTGACGGAGAAAAATGCTTCGGTAAAGCGATAGAACTTGTCGATGTCTTTAACTTCAAAGTTAACAAGAGACAAGGCAATGATTATCACAACAGCTGGTTCTCCGATAAGGCCAGTGAGGAAATTGGAGATTGACAAACCAGCCATGAAAATGGCGGATGGAGTTCGGAGACACTTCAAGGGATCTTTGTAGAAAGTCCACAAAAACATTCCATTGTTCAGGACAGTTGCCACAGAAAGAAGAGCAAATCCCAGCATAAAAACTTCCGATATTGTGCGGAAATCATAGTATTCTTCGTTGTCAACAGAACTGTTTGTCGCGTTCATGATTCGTCAGGTTTCGTTAACAGTCTATTACTGCCGCCGCCAAATATTCAGTTTGCTAAGCTATTACAACCGGACTCTCGACACAGAATTCTCGATTCAGAACTCGTTTAGACCGATGTGACCTAGGAATTCCTAAGGAAGTTTAAGACTCTTTTTTCTCTCACAGATTCGTTCGCCTTCCCGTTCGACCAGGTGCAAAAGTGCAGCAAACAGAACCACTTCCTCTATGTTACCTCTCAGGTGGACAGAGGGGGATTATATTTCCTTATGCAAAGTAAAAACAGCTTCGGTCACCACCACATTCTGAATGCTCCACTAAGAAGCTTAAATATAAGTAAACGAAGAAGATATGATAAAAAATGTAACAATAACTTGATTTGCCTTGAAATAGGAAAGCAATACAATTGCATTTTCTCCCTACCCCGGAAGAATAGGTATTGTCATCTTGTCTGGGTTTATTCGCCTCAAATTCGCCTCCAGTTTACTTCGTCTTGTTCGCGTGGCCGATCAAAGTTTCAGAACCCTGGGCCGAGTTTCAAGGCTCCTCTGGCTGGGTGAGTTTTTAAAGTTCCGAAAGAAAAAATGGATTACCTTTAGTTTGGGTTGTGTCCTTTAAGGCGAGATTTAGATTTCGAGTTGTACTTCTACATAACTTGAACAATCTAGATCCCCCGTTAGAATTTTTTGAAGTTAAACCACAAATTTAAATTAATATTTGCTTGAAAATCTGGCTGAAATTCTCTTCCAACCTTGTTAAGCACTTACGCCTCCAAAAACATTGCAGGCTCAATACAATAAGAGGTACACAGTACAGCAGCTGTACTTAAGGACCGGTCATTATTTATCGCCTGGAGTTGGAGGTGGAGGGGGGGGGGGGGGGGGGGGGGGCATTGGGGGGTAAACAAAGTGAAATTTTGCGGTTTCCCCATTTGTAATAAAATCCCCTGAAGATATCCCCCTAATACAATTTTATGCTTCTTACAGAACCCCCCTATCTCTATGCAACACAACCTATCACGGCGCTCCTCCCTATAACTTCAACAAAGCGACACCCCTATCCCACACTCCCGTTGGCAC